TGGACTCGCTCCAAGTGGTCAATTGGACTTCATCATTTTAGGGCCCCTGCGCTGGCCCCTCTCCACTAGCTCCTTGTCTTTATTGAGCTGAGGAGCCCAGAACTGGACACAGTACTCCACGGGAGGCCTCACCAGCGCAGAGTAAAATCAGTAAGGACACAATGATTTCTCTCTCCCCAAGTCCCCAAGAGGCAAGAGTTCAAGTGGTCTCACCCTGGTGGTCTGGCAATGAGTCGAAAACACCACTCTCACAAATGGATCTGAAAGGCCATTGTCATCTGCAGGGAGGATCCCTCGAGCCTGATACAGATGGGCTCGGAGCTGGAAATAGCTGAAATCTAGTAAGAAAAAAGAGAAGAGAGGTCCCAGTTCCCCAGCCCAGCCCTGTGTGAGGCCAAAAAATGCACCAACAGGCCAGCCAGGTAGGAGTGGGCACATCCTGCAAGGAATGGGTACCACATCTAGGGGCACTCACTACGGTTCTCAGAAGACCAGCACATCTCATAAGGTTTGGGCAGGCAAGACAAGATCACCTCTGGGAAGGACATGACAAGTGAAATTTGCAGTGATGTGCTGTGGGGGAGCACCACCAGGCAAAGGGGCAGACCTCACGCCCAGTGCCAGTTCAGCAGCGCATTCAGTGCCTACAAAGCACCTGTCCGGCCTGCTGCTCCAGCTATGAGTGTGCAAATGTGGCCCCATGAGATCAAACTGGACCTGACTGTCCCAGTTGTGCCATGGAGAGGACAGATGAGCTCCTACGACGCTGACCCTGGGGCAGGACCTCCCTCCTCTCTGCTCTCCTGATCACAGCTAAACCATGGAAAAGTGGCATCTGCACTCACCATCCCTGCTGAGCCGGCTGGGGGGACTGTATGCCGAGAGCTGGGCTACCTCCTGTCCACTCTCAGAGAGGTACCTGAACTCCTCAGGCAGCTCTGCCAAACAGTTCTTTGCATATTTGGTTACTCCAAGCCACATGTAGATTTCCAGTTTGGCAAAGATCTCACCAGTGTGTAAGCGAGGGACCTGAAAGCACAGGAGGTTTAGCAGGTTTCCCACCTCAGCCATGCCCCCTTCAAACACAAATGGTTACCACCGGCCAGTAACCAACCGAAGAGCACAGGAGACAGCACCACATTGGCAGAGGCAAAAGGGCAGTGGAGCAAGAGCTGTGCCTCCTTGTGAGCTCCAGGATTTCAGGAAGGAGGGCTGGAAGCAAGGAGGGAGAAGCAGCATGAAACAAGGAAGAGCACAGTGTTTTGGTACAACCCCTACCTTCATAAAGACAGTCTGGATCTTCGCACAGTCCTTGCCTTTCTCCTCTTCAACTACCGAGTAGAGGATGTTCTGCGCAGGAACTCTTGCATATGCCACACGCCTGTTGTTGCTGAGCATCCAGATGAGGACATCAGGGAGGGTGCATTGGGGCTGGAAAGAGAGAAACGTCACAGCAGAGAACAGCACGTATCTTGTCCTCCTGCCACTGACAGTGAAAGCTTTGTCTCTTTGCAGGATGGACTGATGGCTGCACAGCACCTTGGAGATCCAGAAGCAACTGAAGGACCAAAAGCTGGGCACGTGCTTCTGAAAGTCTTAGCCCTGCAATATGGCTCTTCAGGTTTCTTGGAAGGGTCTGCGACCTGCCTTGTTCTTCATTGCAAACACCAGCAGGATGCACTCAACCCTATGCCATGTTTGGAAGAGGAAGCCTCCACAAGACTGGAGAAATGGCATTTTAGCTCACATCTTTGACAGAAGTCCAAGTGCTGATCCATGGGAAAGAACATCACATTAGCTGGCATCTCATCAACATGAGTGCTGAGCGTAAAGCTGGGGTTTAGGTTGAGAGCAGGTCTTGCAATAAAGCAAATGCACAGATGGAAGCAACTACTTCTTTTAAACTCTAACCTAGGTTCTCTTCCCATCTTAGTTTCTCTGCCATTAGTGCTTGCACTTGTACTTGGCACTTGTATTTGGCACTTGTATTTGGCACTTGTATTTGGCACTTGTACTTGCAATTTTTCAGTACACCAGTACTGAATCAATTTATTACTGATCCAAACCAAGACCACCAGCCTCCAAGCAGGGACTAAAAGTGGCAAGTTTATGTGTAGGGCTGAGTCTACAGGGACAGCAACATTACAAGTTCATCACAGGAAACAAAATGGGAGGAGATTCCTCTCTGTCAGGGAATCAGCTGCAGCAAGTCCTCAAGGCTGGAGCCTGAGAACAGCTTCTCCTCCTGGTAGTGCAAGGGGGGACATCTCCATCATGCTCAAGTCTGCCCTCACATAGCTCAATGTGTGGAAATTGACTTCACTTAGTGAAAGACTTCTCTAAACTGCAACATCTGTCCACCTAACTCCAGCAAACATTGCATTCTGGTTTACACTACACGAACGCACTGTTTTTCTAGAGTTACTTAAAATAGAGCCAATGAAACTACGAAAATGGGATCACTGCTATGGATGAGAGATGTTACTTCAGCACAAGTTTGAATTTGCAGAAAGTGCCCAGGGTCAGTCCCTGGTGGGAGTGCAGGTAGCACAGACAAGGCTGTTTTCCCAGGCAGAGTGCCCACAGCCCCACTGCAGGCACAGCCTCAGGCTGGCCAGGCAGAGAGGCCCCAGTGGCCTGGAGCTGGCCCATCTCTGTCTCCAACCTGCTGCTGGGTGCTTGGACCCTTGCTCTGTCACCAACAGCCCTCCAAAGCCGACAAGCCTCATCCCTCACAAGAGACATTGCATTAAATATGGTAACTTCCAGCAACAGGAACTTGGGATTTTACACAGCAAGAAAAGACAGCAGACAAAAACCCCCAACTAAGAGTAGTGAGAGCCTCGCTAGCCAGTCCAGCACCCTCTCCTTGCCCGTGCCCTCTCCCGCTCAGAAGCAGGGTGCTCTGGGAGTAGCTGTACCTCTTTAGCCATGAAGCGTAGCTTTGTCAGGACCCTCCTTGTCTCCTTAACCTTCTCCTTGATGTTGGCTCGAGTCAGGCGCCGCCTCACACGTAGCCCCTGCTTTGCGTACAGGATCTAAACAGAGTGCACAGCCGTCACACGCCTGGCTGTGTCCCAGGCATGCCATGCTGGCACTCCTTGAAGGGGATTTTCAGGGCAAGACCTGTGTGCTGGCCACGTCCATCCTGCCCCATCACACCCTGACCTTGGCTCACTCCCCAGTTGCTGAGGGCAAACCTCCATGAACCTGCTGTGAGCCGTTTAGTGAAGGGTGCCAAGAACTGGAAACTCATCAGCTCTGTGATACCAGCCAGTAATGAAATCCATGAGCATCATTTAGGGCAGAAAGATTAATAAGGAATAAACATTTCAGAAGCTACTAGTAGAAGGTTCGAGATAGTGTCTGGGGGAGGCTTTGCATAAGGAGCGACTTGGGGTCACAAAAGTATGGGAATATGAAGATGTAGGAAACTGGAAGACAAGGCTGGGCTTTTATGACCATTAGTAGATAGTGTACACATCTGAGGAGAGACTTTGTGATGAACCAAAACCAATAATGAAATCCAGAAGGAATTCAGGGTGCAAACCCAGTCTGGCCTGGCAAGGCCAGAAAACTCATCTCTTGGGCTGGTTCTGTCATTCAGAGTCTCAGAGTACTTTCACCATAGCTCAGGTGATGATGTGCAGGGAGGCAGAGGGAAGGGAGCTGGGACCCAGACATGCTTAAATTTTATTTCCTGCTGCTGTCACTGCATTTTGGTCAGCCCTTCAAAGCTTTGTAGTCTGATGAGGACTATGATAACAACCATGCTCTGCTCTGCTGTGAGGGTATGTAACTATGGTCCCATTCAGTGCTGCAGAGGAGAGGAAGGATGGCATCAGGGCACAGCATCTGCGTAAAACTGGAGGCAGCCATGGCCAGTCCCTGCCTCTGTTCACTGTGCTGGAAGCTGTATTGCTCTGAGAAGAAGTGGGAGATGCTGCAACAAAAGTCTATGACTGATACCATGAGTCTTAACCTCAAGTTTCCTTTTTAGCACCAATACTAGCTGGTCCTCCAGAAACATCCCCCAGCGCAGGCTCCCCCCAGCCCCAAGCCCCACAGCTTACAATGTTGCGCATCAGGTATTTCATCCTACATCTGTCAAGGTTGTTTGGATGTGCCATTGTTCTTCTCTCTATGTTGAGTGAATATTGCCTGCAACGAGAAAAGCAGTACAGGCTCTGCACCCCCTGCACCCAGGAGCTAAGCTCACACAGCAGAGGCACATGCTCCAAATCCCTGGTACTAATCCAGATGCATCAGAAACCCCCCTCTCTGCAATGCCCTCTCTTCTGCAAGCGTTTGATTCCAAAGGCACTCTGGAGACTGCTCAGCACCTGAGACTGCCTCTCTTCTGTCTCCATCACAAAGCTGGGGATTGATGTGCATACAGGACCCCACTGGGCAGCTGCACTGATTGAAACGCTCGTTTCTTCTCTGCGTGACTGAAGAAAGTAAAGGAAATGTCCTAACATTTAGGAAACAACCAAGAGTCCAGGAACATTGAGGCTGCAGTCTGTAACCCCTGTGCTTCTCAGGACTGCAGTCCCCTCTCCAAGCTTGAAGAGCTACAGTGTCCTTTCCTCAGGTTGTCCTGGTTTCCTTCCGCTCATCCGCCTCAAGAGGATGAGAGAGCAGTCTGTGCACAGCCCAGGCAGAACACAATAGGACCTTGTAACCTGGAAACAAGAAACCTTAGGAAATGAAGGACATGCTAACCTGCATCCAGCTACAAATTCCTCCAGCACCTCTCTGAGCCGCTCTTCTGCTTTAGACTTTGGCCTTCTCATGAGCTTCTCTACGTCATCCAGCCCCTGCTCCTGTGGGGAAAGCACAACATTCAGGGAGCTTGCACCTGGCTGTGGGTTCAGAGAGAAACACCGCAAGATGGTGTTTGCCACAAATGGCTTGTGCTCTTCTGCAGAGCTGGGGATCGTGAGAGTGCTGCAGGTCAGCGCTGTGCTGCCAGGGACTCCCTGGAGCCTGGGGATAACCTTCACACCAGCTGTTACACCACCCTGCACCTCAGTCCTTGAGCAGCCACTGAAACACACTGGCAAGCTCTGCTTTTGGACTTTGAAGCCCAAAAGGAAAAGATGAGGCCCTGGGAAGAAACCCCCCTGATGACAGTCCAAGGCTGAGTCTTCTCGCAGCAGCATCTCCCCAGTGCGCTCGCAGCTCAGGCCTGGCCACAGAGGAGTGTTTTGTCACAGGCATAGCGTCACTCACACTGCCAGGAGACACCGCTGCGCTGCGGCACAGCACGGGCAGCGGCGCTGCACTCACTGCCCTGCCCCACCTACCTAAAGGGCAGGTGCAAGAGACACGGACTCACATGGGGGGTGAGGGTGTTTAAGGCAAATGTCTCACAAGAGCATGTGCTACAAGGAAAGCACACTAGGAAGGACCGTGACACAGACAGACACCCTGAACACGCTACCAGGCGCTCTGCCAGCTTGACAATCCAGTTGGAAATGCAGAGTCTCCAGGTGTGATCCTCCCAGTAGCTCCACACGTACACACAAGGTTTCTCATGCGTCATGGGCAGGCAGAGGTATGACCTAAGGAGGAGGTTTACAGCACAGAAGTTAACGGCTGCTGTTTGCAGAAAGCACATGCATGTCACCCAGCACAGGGAGCAGCATCTGGGCTCTCTTGTCTCTCAGACAATAACTGGCTGTTTTGGGCCCTGCACCACAGAAGTGGATGCAAGCTGCTGGATATGCCCTCTGCCATCCCAAACTAGTGCACAGGGTTTCTAGCAGAGAGAGCAGCACATGCTCAGATGAATGAGGCTGATGGGAGTGTGAGATGCTGCCAAGATTTATTGCTGCGAGGGGACTGAGTAGTGTCAGGCACAGCACTCACAACACAAACAAGACATTGGTGCCTGTGGGACAAACCAGGCAGCACTCCCAGAGCAAACATATCATCAGAAGAGCTTGTGTATGTGTCTTGCCTGCCCAGCATAGGACAGCATGTGCCAGAGTGCTCCTCTCCTTCCTCCTCCCAGGAATCAAGCCCTTAGACTGCTTTAACCAGAAAAGGGACTGCTGTTACTGATGTGTCCCAGTTTCCCTGGGACTCTGTCCTTGGCCACGTGCACACACCAAGCAGACACCATAGGGCATACAGGACTAATGGGCAATGGCAGCCAGCTAGGCCATGGAAAACTGCAGGGTTGCAAAGAGGAAAAGCATCTGCACAGCCCTCACTGAGCAGACCTCTGATAACATCTGGAATAACCAACCTGGGAAGCTGGGGCAGGGCGAAGGCAGGTGGGAAAGAAGGACAAAGACGACTCACCTGTCATACTCCGTGGGCTCTGGTCTCTGGCTCTTTGTCACCGACTTGTTCAGTGTTGCTGAAGCTGGGGCCAGGACTTCAACATCCAGCTCACCATCTGAACCAGGCTCCAGCAAAGGTTGCTTTTCTTCTTTCACTTCCTTTTCCACTTCTCTCGATACTTTGGTCACAACCTCTTCGGCTTTCCCATAGTTTCCTTGAAGTTAAGCATTAAACAGTGAACAGGTAAGTGGGCTCACTGTTAAACAAGTTTGCTAGCTTGCAAAATCAGAGTGCAATCATCCTGCCAAGAGACGCACATGGGCATATACTGTTTTTGCAACTAGCAATTCAGTAGCATCCACACATCAGAATATCACATGGACAACCAGGAGGTTTGAGAGGAAGCTGGGCAACTGCAAGGAAGTCCTTCTGTATGCCTTCAAGTTCCACCAGCTCCACCAAGTGCCTGCTAACTGCCATCTACACCCCTACACGGGGTCAGCAGCAGTCACTCAGGAAGACTTCTCAGCGTCAAGCTTCTCCACCCATCCAGCTTAGCAGGTGGTGGCTTGGACCTGCTCTTCTACCAGTTTTCCCATCACCTGCTGTCACAGCCCCTCAGTACAACTTGGCCAACCCCAGTAATCCAGCTTCCCCTCCTTTCCTTCTTTTTCTTGCTCCCAAACCCTTCTACCTCTTCTCACTCCCACTTCCCAGAAGAGCTTTAACCACGCTCCCTAAACAGGCAGTTCAGACAGATACTGCAAATCTCCAATCCCATAGGACAACACCCAAACTTTTAAGGTAATTAAAGCCCTGTGCACACTCCCTGGTCTCATCCCCTATCCTTCCCGAGTTCCTGTTTCAGAGGCACAAGCTGTGCAAGGGCTGGCACCTTAGGACTGCGGTGCTGACCTGGGCTGTCAGAGCAAGATTCGTACTGTTCCCACAGTTTCTGGGCATGGGGCCCTGTGGAATACCCACCTATAGAGACTTCAAAGCTGACAGGCTTGGAACTGAGAGAGGAGTCCATCATAGTGGCTTCAAAGAAGGCAGCGAAGAGGAGGAATTCCTCCTTCCTCCCCAGCGCATTCTGAGCAAGGAGACAGAAATCAGTCCAAGTGCCTCATGACAAAACACTGCCTCAGCAGAAATTCGGAAAGCACCAGGGCACAGCCTGTGCCTGCCAGCCCTCCCAAGGGACATCAGTGGCATGCTGCTGAGGTCACCACCACTGGGCTGCCAGATGTGAGACAAGTTTTGTTGGAAATCCCAGGGGGTTGTTGCAGAGCTATGGCTTTGGCTGATGCTTGTGTGAAGCCACTGAGCAGGTTTGTAAGCTAAGGGATGACCACTGTACCAACACAGCTACATCTTGCCTGCCCTTCTCAGGCCAAGTGGAGACCCAGAGCCAGCTAACAGTTCCCTGGCTCCAGAGCAGAAAAAGGACATGGTCAAAGGCAGCTGTGCCCTGGGAATAACACCCCCATGAGAGTCCTGCCTGCACCAAGAAGCTAGTGCATGTGAGGATGCTCCAGCCTTACTGTGGAAGTCAGTTTTGGGGCGGCAGTGTGACCTCAGCCCTTGCAGAGGCTCAGAGGGCTCTGGTGGCCCAGCAACGGGCAGGCTAGGTTTCCTCCAGCACTGTTACACCAGCAAGTGATCCCACTGCCTGTCCCCAGTGAAGTCTGTGCATGCCACCGGCCAGTGTGGGCGAGCCATGCCAGCATGGCAGGACTCACCTCGGGGAGTGGATGAAGCTCGTCCACCTCCACAGTGACCTCCCCAGGCTGCTCGGCCTCCTGAGAGCCCCCAGCCTCCTCCTCTCCCTGTAGCTGGCTCAGTTCTTTGGCTTTCTCCTTGAATTTCTTACTTTTCTTCTTCAGCTTCAGTTTGCTTAGGGCACCTTTTGTTTTGTCCCCAAGCTTCCTCTCTGCCAGGCTGGGGCTGCTGAAGATCTCCACCATGATGGCCATGAGGATACGCCCGCGGTAGAAGATCCCCTCGCCCATGCCCTCGTTGAGGTCCTTGTGGATATCCCGCAGAGTCGAGTTCTGGGGGGAGCCATACAGGTTCACCCAGGCTGGGCCAAATGTGGGGTTAAAGCCTGCAGTGATAGGGACAGAGTCTAATTACACCACAGGGTGCTGCTGCAAAGAGACCTTCCCCTGAGAAGACAGCCCAGGACACTGGGATGTGAGTGTGCTCTGGCCACTCCTGCTTCCCAGCTCCAGGTGCCCACCACAGCTGAGCAGAGGAGGCATGGGGCCACCATGCCAGGCCTCACCATTCCTGCCAGGGTCCGAGATCTGCTGCAGGTCGATGTAGTGTGTAGCGATGGCCACATCCCCAACACTGGCATCATCCAGCACCTGAACTTTTATCTTCCTGGCCAGAGGTGGGAACATCTCGATGAAGCTGATCTGCTCATTCCACTCAGGCTCAGTGGTGTTGGTCTCCACCGACGTTTCTCCCTGGGAAGGAGAAAGTATGAAAGCCATGGAGTCCCAGCTGGTGGCAAGAGCAAGCGATGCCTCAGAGCTTCTCTAGGAATGGCATGTTCTCCTGTCGACTTGGAGACAGTGCTGGGCAGGCTCTGGAGGTGGCAGTGTCCCTGCTCCTGCCACCATCCCAGCAATGGCGCCCTGTCCTTCATCAGGGGCGGCTGTTCCACGGCCCTGGCTGTGCCCTGCACAGCCAAGGGAAACACTGGAAGCCAGGGGGCACCACCACCAGACGCAGAGGTGTCGCAGGGTCCCCTGGCAACAGCCCTAGGCCCACCAGACTGCCCGGGGACTGATTCTCATCTTCATGTATGTCGCAGCACCAGAAGCACTGGCCTTAAGTGCAAGAAAAGGGCCATTAGGTCAATAAACTCTCCTGAGGGTGTCAGGCTGAGTCCAGACTGGCAAAGAGGACTTCTGCTACAGGATGTATTTGACCCTCTCCCTATGTTTAGGGATATGAAATCTCTGCCTGCACAGCCAGTAGCTCAGTCAGTGTCTGTGCTGAGGGCTGGGGCTGTGCCCTGTGCAGCTCTGCAGAGACAAGTCCCATAAAGGCCTTCTTGCACAGACACTGTGCAGCCACGGCCACACGGCTCAGCCACTGCCTAAGACAGCAAGGCTTGGGCTCTCCCACGCCGACTCCAGTGGGTTGCTGTGTCCCATGGAGGCTCCTGCCAGCATCAGCCTAGTGCATGCTGCCACCCAGCCAAAGGAGGATCGGCATGGCTCCACGCAGGCCCCCCTGGCAGACTCACCTGCTGCCCGCAGAACGAGACTTGCACATATGGGTCAATAAAGACTTTTTTCTCCCCTATGATCTTGGAGAAACCACCCATGATGCCTGCACTCATGCTAGGCAAGCCCTCAGCACGGTACAACTTGATGCAGACCCTGGCCCAGGGTCTCTCTGCAGGGACTCTCTTAGGCAGCAGCAGATTCCTGAAAGACAAATTCATGTTCTGGATCTCTCCTGGAGCCCAGGAAACACAATGATGAGAAATATCCTGACTCGCAGGAGGTTTGGATCCTGCCCCATCACAGATGTCTTTTCCTGGGTCTTTCCCCATCAGAAGAGGGGAAAATGGGGCAAAAAAAAGTAGGGTGAAGAAAGACATGACCATTTTCCCCAGGGCCATGCAAGACTGCACTGACCTACCTTTCAATGTCCTCATCCCGGCTGCTGGAGGAGGTGGGAAGGGAGCCCACAATGTCCCCACGTGCAGTGACGGAGATATTGCACTTCACAAAGCCCTTCACACCTGCCCGGGTGTCCGTGGGGTCACTGATAACGGCCCACTTCTGGAAAAACCTGTGATCTGAGAGGAAAGGGAGGGAGTTCCCCGTGGAGATCGCAGGTCAGCATTTCACATCGCAACTATGTCTGCACAAAGATCATACAATCATAGAATCATAGAATGGTTTGGGTTGGAAGGGACCTTAAAGGCCAGCCAGTTCCAACCCCCCTGCCATGGCCAGGGACACCTTCCACTAGACCAGGTTGCTCCAAGCCTCATCCAGCCTGGCCTTGGACACTTCCAGGGATGGGGCATCCACAGCTTCTCTGGGCAACCTGTCCCAGTGCTCAGCCACCCTCTCCGGGAAGAACTTCTTCCTGATATCTAATGTAAACCTCCCCACTTTCAATTTAAACCCGTTACCCCTTGTCCTGGCACTACAGGCCCTTGTAAAAACTCCCCCCCAGCTTCCTTGTAGCCCCTTCAGGTACTGGAAGGCTGCAATGAGGTCTCCCTGGAGCCTTCTCTTCTCCAGGCTGAACAAGCTCAATTCTTGCAGCCTTTCATCATAGGAGAGGCGCTCCAGCCCTCTGATCATCTTTGTGGCCTCCTCTGGACTCGCTCCAAGTGGTCAATATCCTTCTGATATTGAGGTTTTAATAAGATTGCCCTGACCCTGCCTCTGAAGGTACAGCAGGTGTCACCAGCCCTCAGGCAGCTGGTAGGAGAAGCAAGTGCTGGTCCTCATGTGAACTAAGAGCTTTAAAGACAAGGTCCTCACCAGACCCAGCAGAGCACAAAGGAAACGTCCATTTCAGACAAAGCCAGGGTTGGGGAGCAGGTATGCACTGCAGTTGGTCATACCTGGCTGGCTGTACACTGTCACAATGTCCATCTTGAATGTTCCTATGCACGTTCCCAGGAATGGTACCTTCGTTGAGTGAAAAACCTGCAGACAGCAAATATCCCCCTGAGCACCAAGAGATGTGGGCAGCCAGGTAACACACCCAGACATCTCTGAGGAGGACAGGACTGCTAAGAGACGCCTGTTCCAACACACAGCTCAGGCAGTGCACACTGACCCACCTGAGTTAGCCCTGGGTCAAACCCATTCCTGCCCAACCATTCCCACAAAGCCCGCCAGCCCATGGCCCTCAGTCAAACCTGGGCCAAGGCAAATTCATGTGCAACCAATTCAGCTGCTTCTGCCAGCCCCAGACAAGCTACACCCCTGTGATGGACCAAGAGCACACCTGCTTTCCTTCAGGGAGCCCTATGTCCACATCCTGCTGCATCAGGACAGAGCCATGCCCCACCAGGCCAGTGTCTCTCCCCAAACCCAAGCCTTGCCTAGGGCTTGCTGAACCCACAGCAGCAGAAGAGACGTGCAGCCATTCACAGAGAAAATGCTGGAGATCATGTGGCAAAGGAGGCGCTCACTGGGTTTAGCTATCTTCCAAAAAGCCCCATGTCTTGAAGGTCTCTCTGTGCTTTGGGCCAGGGAATTTCTGAAGACTGCTCTCTGCCTGCCTGGGCTTATCTACAAGCACAAATCACTGCTGAGCTCCCCTCACACCAGTCATTTGTCTCTACAACCTGCAGGATGAGGCTCCAGGGTAAGGGGCAGCAGGGAATTGCCCCCGAAACAGCTGTCCAGCAAGGCACTGAGCAAGAAATTGCCCCAGAGGCCCTGCTTCAGTCGCTAGATGGAGAGGAAACCTGACACAGAAACCTGCCCAGCGCTGGCTCGGAGCAGGGCCGGGTCTCTACCCCACTGTGGCCACTGGAATGTCCTTTGGTCTCTCTGCAGGGCAGATGCCTCTGGCTGGAAAACCTGGCCGGTACTGGTACCCTTGCTTGGCCCATCATTCCCAGCGTCCACATGAGGAAGCGTTGGGCTGTACCCGTTACCAACGAAGCATAAAGAGGAGGACATACTTACCGAGATCTCTATGAGTCTGTGGAATAAAATGTCCCTTGGCTCACGGAATTCGAACAAAAAATACTGAAAGAGAAGAGCAAGACAGCTGAGCCCCAGGCTCCCAACACAGCCCCACAGCACCTCTGCCTGAGAGCAGCTGCATCCCCAGCACCCCTGCACGGATGGCCTCAGGCACTTGGGGCTCCAGCAGGGCAAGGACGGAGCCTCGGTCCGTAACACGTACTTCATTGTAGAAGGGGCAGTTTGTTGACTTCTGCGTCGCCGTATGCCTCTTCTCCTCACCAACTCTGACTACCACAAAGGGATTAATGTTCACCCCCACCAGCTTCTGCGCTTCAATGATATTAATCCCAACCTGAGAAAATGTGGGAGGAAACCCTTGGATTAGCACTCTCCTCATTTCCAGCTCCATCCTGAGCTTGTTTCAGCAATACCATTTACACAAATCTGCAGGGCCCTCCTGCTGCAGGGGTGGACCCTCAGGGCAGGCAAAAGCATGGCTACTGAAATCTGCTGTAGCCAGGACAAACCAAAACGGTACGTTAAACATTTGATTCTTTCAGACAAGTAAGGAAATGAAGTGTTAAATCCTCAGCACCTTTGACAAGAGCGGCCTCCCCACTGGCACTGTCCCTACTCAGTTCCTGATCCCAAGGGGATGTAAACCCACTGCTCCCACATGGTGAGGTCCACAGAGCATCTTGGAGAAGATGCTCTTTGTATCTTCTGCCAATACTTCTCTTTGAATCCTACTGAGATGGACACCACTGGAAAGATTGGAATGTGGCTGTCTCATTTGCTGGGACTGCTAATGGATCTAAGACATGGGAGAACTGCTCTCACATTTGCTCTCAGTACAAATATCTGGCAGTTGTTAAGGCGAAGAATCGTAGCTTCAACAAAAACTTCCTGCTTGGTGGATAGGACCCAGCCTTGAAAAGCAGGAGGCCCAAAGGTGAGTCCATGTTTACTTAGAACCACGAAAGGATTTAAATCCAAACCAGGCTGGGAGACCTGCCCTGAAATCTGGAGGGCAAAAGATGGGACTGAACTCCTTTTTCAAACTTCATATTAGTTTCAACTAACCCTGATGTCAGAGCATTGGCCAGAGCCACAGCTTCGTACCAGCCTCCTAGAATCTCAAAGAAAACCCCTGCAGCAGCCCTCCAGTCCCAGCCATGTCCCATAGATGTCCCTGGGGGCCCAGGCAAGGTACTGGGGAAGCTGGCAGGCATCAGCCCTACCTGGGTGCTCTCCAAAGCTCTGCTTAGGCACAGTTTTGCAGTGGCATATGTGGCTGTGAGGCTGATTCCCTTCTCTTGAACATCCATGGCTAACTACATGGCCCAAACAGAAATGCTGCTCTGAGCTGGCTGATGTTGGAGCCAGTGCTCATGGATGCAGTTTGTACAGGGAATCTCACACCTTGCCCAGAGAAGCCCCACAAAGCAAGAAGGCATCTTCGTGCTAGAGGTCTTGCTGGAGTATGTGGCAACAGGAGAAGCCCAGGCCCACAGCAAGGCAGTGAGGGACCAGCTGTGGCCCTGGAGCAGGCGCAGGGACACACACCCAATGCTGCAGTACCTGAAAGCTCTGTGGGGTTGGGGTAGCAAAGAGGTCCCGTGTGGAGCAAAGTCTGGAGCGGCTGCACAGAAAAACAACCTGGGTGAGAAGGTCTCTTCATCTACGTGGACCAGAGCAAGCCCCCACCAAGGGAAGCAATAGAAACCCTGGCAAATAATGGCTCCTTGCCCTGGGAATAAGTAAATCCCCAACAGTCCCTGTCCGGAGCCATTGGAGAAGGAAGGTTTCTGACATTTTACAGAAGCAGAATGCCAAGAGATACAGGATTCCCCTCAGCAAACACCCCATGAGCTGGCACTTTCCACCCCCAGGCCCAAGCAGAAGCAAGAGAGAAGAGCACACCATGGATACCTCTTCACAGGGCTGAAGACAATGCCTGAGACCTCTAACTCAGACACATCGTAGAAATCTTCTACTGCCTCTTCCTCTTCCTCATCAGTCTCCAGGCCTTTCACCAGCTTCCTGCCCAGCGTGGCAGCCCTCCTGTCAAGTTCACTTGCTCTTTGCCCCTCAGCTGACCTGCAAACCCCCCACCATGTCACCATACCATCAGCCCTGATGAGTGGATTGTGCACCACCTCCAGGAGGCTGAGCTGATACACTCCAGTAGGGCTACTTACTCCACCTCCTCAAATCCAGGATTGCGGATGATTAACTCCGAACTGTAAGAAAAACAGATGCTTTACTGAAAAAACAAGAATGTGGCGGCTGTTCACTGATGCATTTAAGTAACAGTGCCACAGCCATGCTCCTGCTTGGCTCTTGGCAGGGACATGAGCATCCTCCTAAGCGATGCTTAGTTGCGTCAGGGAAGGTTTAGATTAGATATTTGGAAAAACTTCTCCACTGAAAGAGTGGTCAGGAACAGGCTGCCCAGGGAATGGAGTCACCATCCCTGGAGGTGTTTGAGGAATGTGTAGATGTGGTGCTTGTGGACACTGTCTTGTGTGTATGGGAGTGTTGGGTTGGTGGTTGGACTGGTTGATCAGTGATTCTGTGATGCTCTTCCACTGTGCACCCTTTGTGCCTGCTGCTTTGCCTCTGGCACTCCAAAAGTGACACTCTCCAGACCTTGCTGCTGCCTGTCATCCTGTCCATCCAGACACCCACATCGCCCCTGGCTTTGGGCACCTCCCGGTTGCAGGGTGCCTGGAGTGGCTATGGTCCAAAGCCACACTCTCTGCAACTTTGCAACCAGAGAGTCTTGCTCCCATCAGGGAGGCTTTCAAGTCCAAAAGGACCCCCAGTGGGTTGTTGCAGTCATGGGCTTTTTGTGAAGACAAATTTATTTCTTTCCAAAAGCTCTGCTCACTTATTGCTGCTGTAGAGCAGATACGCATCAGCATGGCCAGAAGTGAAAAGTAAATGAGGCTGGATTGCATCCCAAAGGCTGCCACTGGCGTAGCCAACTGTACAAGCTGCCTAGAAATTTCCTCCTCCTGGGATTTCAGTACCTGTCTTTCATCTGATAGACAAAGTCCTCTTCTACCCAGGTCCCAGCTGAGCCATCTGGAGGCTGGTAGCGCAAATCCAACTCAATGCATATCTGCAAACAGAAAATGAAACTTCTGAGAGCTTGGCAGCCACAAAACAACCGCAGAAATGTCACAGAAAAGGGGAAGGGGAGTGTGAAAGAAAAGAAGAAGTGAGATGCTGGTGGAAAGAAGGGGAAAAAAGAGGGTCACAACCCACAAGAAGCTTATTTATATCGGATTCTCCTTGTCTGCCCCCATCAACAAGCTAGAGTTAACCAAACTCCCTCCCCAGCTTACCAAACTCCAGGATTCACTGAATAAAAGCTGGTTCAAGCTTCCAAATCTAAAATATACCATGGATAGGCCCCTAAGAGCCATCTTGGGGCACTTACGGCAAGGACAGTGGGGAGAGCCCTGCAGCTGAGCAAACTAACATGCAAGGGTTTGGAGCAGTCTCTCTCTGGGAGGCACAAGACAGCTGGCAGAGCATCCCCAGACATGAGAGTCTGGCTGAAAACACCACCAAAGCCATCAGCATGCCAAGAGTCTGCATCACAGAGACATCGACATAGCGTGAGTGATGAAGAAAGGATGAACAGAGGAAGACAGGGCACATTGGTATCAGCACAGCCATCACAGATGTGAAAAAACTTGGTCTGCAGGTGACCAGCCTGATCTTGAACCAATAAAAATGCACAAGAATTTCCCAGCGGAGGCCAAAATCGCAGCCATGGAGGAGGTCACTTCTCAGCAAGCTGAAGGGGATGTACAAGCTGGGTTAATAGCTGAGACCCTGGAAAATACGTGCTTCTAGGAAGAGAAATACATCCCAAGAAAACAGCAGAAGAGTGGCTGGGAAAGGCAGTAACAGAAGCTGGATGGATGCAGAAGCCTGAAATAAAGCTGGGTGAAGAGCTGAGGCTCTGGAAAAAACCCTTCAATGCACCAAGAGAAAAAAGGTGTACAAATAACCCAAGTCCCAAAGAAAAGAACGTGGAACAGCAGGAAGGGCTTTGTTCCCTATTTGCTAAAGGAGCAGTGGTTGAAACAGCCTCTCCCCGCTGGGGACATGTCTCTTCCCAGCTGGGCTGAGGGAGAAGGTCTCAGAATGTTCTTGGATAAGCGTCCAGTTTTGCCTGCCCTGTTTCTGTCCCCTGCAGCCCTTGTGCAGCCAGAGCTGCATAATCAAAAACTAACCTGGCAAAACCCCAGGCAATTTGGTTTTGGTTGAAGCGGCTCATCAGCATTGACTGCTGCTCTTAGCACAAGGGAAGAGGCAGCCAGGGGCAAAAGGTTGGGCTGTTGAGCAGCTCTGACCTTACAGGGGTGTAAGTGCCCCAGCTTGGTCCCCTCAAACCACTGCCAGCACGGAGTGCTGCCAAAGGGTCTGTCTGGTCCCTGTCCCTTTGCTGGCACGCAGGGAGCTCAGCAAGCTCAGCAACACGGGAAAACTGTGCCCGTGCCACTCAGCCTCATAGTCTGGTGGTCACAGAGCTGCACCCCATGTGTCACCATGGGGGTGAGTCAGGATGCCCGTGGGAAGGGCAAACAGGGGCGCAGCACACTGCAGGGCTACGGGCCTCCGGCTCTCCTCATAGCCCCACCCGCAGCCCTGGCACCCAGCCCCGGTTTTCCATCGCTCACTGAAGTGTGCCTGCACACCCAGCTGGCAGGAAACAGTTAATTTTTGGGTCACATTCATTTTCCACTGGCATAAAGGGCCCAGCAAGTCCTGTCACCAGGGCAGGAGGGAAGTGGAACTTTTGGCACAGAGGAGAGGGGCAGGCAGGCATCAGAGCTGCTCACACTCCCCCAGACCATAACTGGATGTTAGCACTGGTGTTTCACCTGAAAGCTCAACAGGGGTCCCAAGGCACCTTTCCACCTTCAGCCTCACCCCATCAGCTCCCCTCTGCTTTACACCCTGCAGCATCCCATGCCCACACACTGCCTGGTGCAGGAAGCAGATGAAAAACCACCTCCTATATCCATCAGCCAGACCCAGGGAGATTTTACTGGTTTTACTAAGCCTCCCTCTGCTCATCCGGACCCTCAACAGGTCTCCAGGGCCCCCAGCCCATGCCATGAACTTCTGGATGCTCCTAGAACTACTTGATGGGTGTGAAAGAGCTGTACCCCTGCACCAAGAGGGCACAAACACCACAGCGCTCCCAGGCTCAAAGCAGCACCTTGGACTCCCCTCCCCAGCCCCAAATCCACCTGGGAAGTGCTACACAAGGTTTCCCACAAAGCCTTCCCAATTGCTGATGGCCAGGCTGCCCGTGGAGGACTTACACCAGTGGCTCTGTGGTTCCTGTCGACAAGGACCTCACGGAGGATCAGCCTCCCGGATGTCATCAGGTGCTGAAGGCTGAGGACAAGGGTACCCAGCACCCTAGAACAAAACCAGTGGCTGCAGTAATACTGTACATAGCATCAGTGACTACATTCTGAGGGAAGAGGGTACCAGGATCTCTGCTGTCCTGCTCACAGCCCTGCCGAGCTACAGAGAAGGCAGCAGACTGCTGCAACGTTTTCCACAGGGAGTCTGGCATCTGAAATACCTGAGACCCACTGACCCTGCCTCTCACTCCAGTCATGCCCAGGCAGCTGCTTGCAGCTGAGCTGCCATGGATGGTCAAAGGCTTCCGCAGAACCAGTCCCACCGAGTGCGAGGGAGCTCCCCCCTTAGGCAGAGCTGGGCTTCATGGGAGCCAGCCTGTGCTTTGGGCAGCCAGCAAACCTGGGGTGACTTCCCAGACAAACTGAAAAGCAGAGGCTTCATGCAAGAAAATACAGAAATAGGACATAAAGCCATGGCTGCAGGGACATCTACAGCAGGTCAGGCCAGAATTTACCTACTGCAAAGGGGATCTCCCTTGGGGAAGAATCATCTGGCTCCTCACCAGTGGCAGAAACACATGCAGGGTGGCATTCAGCTGCTCCTAACCCCACCTTGTGTTACTGCTGTCCACTGCTCATCAACCTCCAGCTCCCACGGCAGCTCTGCCGTCAGCTGAGCTAAGCTCCACATGAAGCAGAGCCTGTTGCTGTCTGCTGGGAATCACCATGGGAGCATTTCACTGCCCACCTGAGACGGAGTCATTCCCCAGTCACCTCCATTTCAGCTGCAAGTTTCTGATCTCTCGTACCCCCTCACCTCCCTCTTCTCTGAGTTGCAGAGCCTGCCTAGTCCTTCTCCCTGCCTGCCTAGTCCTTCTCCTTCACCCCTGAGGAGAAGTTTCTACACTCATCCCCCTCCTCTCCAGCTTTTCCAGCCCAGTGCTGCTGCCACAGGATGGCTGCACATGCAGAAGTCCACAGACTACAGATCAAACACAATGGCATAATTCTTGCCTTCTGTCCTCTATTTATTTGTGATCATCCCAGTGCACTGACCAACTGCTTTTAAACCAGGATGTCTGTCACCTGCCATTACTCTGCTCCCCAGGAGTGGAGATGCACGGATAGATGCTGCCAGCGTCAGTCCAGCCATTTCCCACTGGGCTTCTTTGCTTGGCACTACCAAGTCCTGGTGATTTGCTACTGTTTGTTTTTTCTATTTGTCCTGTAGCCAGTTCTATTGACACTTCAGTTGGAGACAACTCCTCTGATCCAGCTCCCATAAGGAAAGCATCCAGTAAACAATGACTCAAAGTTCAGGCACATTTTCTGCTCTGGCTTTAAGTGTCTTGTGTGCGCTGTACTGATCTGTTTCCTCCACACCCTCTCTGTCAGGCTCATGATGGCTTTGAAAAGGTTTGTATTATTAGCTGCCCCTAGAAAGTTGTTTCTGTTGATTTTCCTTCAGCCTCTTACATTTTGCTTATCAGAGTTGGCACCCTTCCCTGCATCCTCATGTTTCACATGTCCCGGAAGGATGTGCCTCTGCTGCCCTGCCTGCTCCACCACCACTACTCAATCTGTCACCTCTACTCTTGAGTGTCCCTGAAGTGTTTTACAACTGCTGGAACAGCTGCTGAGTTCACAGCATTGTGTCTGTGCCACCTAGAACCATTTACAATTCTGGCTGATCCTTTACATTTAAACTGATGTCATTTGTAAAGGTTAAACCATACTACACACGGGCTGGAGCTTTTCCCTGCTGACAGGCATGTTGAGTTTGGGCACAGCATGGTCACGGTCATCATGGGAATCTGCAAGGTGAGAGCAGGTCTCTGCTCTGCTCTAAGTCTTGCCCTTGCAGCTCTATTTTTTAGGGACCTATTTGACGTTTGTACCACCTGGGGGCCTCATCTGGATCCTTAGGCAGTCTTTGTTACTGCTGTCACAACTAAATCATTCCCCATAGTTAACTTAATATACAGCACTGCTGCCCCACCAGAACTCCAACCCTCTTCTGTAACTTGTATCCTGCTCATGTTCTTTCTATCAGATTTCCAATAAACATTTTTGACTCCCAGTAGAAAGTCTAAAGCCCAGTATGGCTCTCCCCCCACCTCTGCTGGTCACCTCAACAACCAAAGGACCTACCTGTTACTGAAAACCTTGCTGCAGTTGTAAACCTTAACGAGCAGCATCTCTCCCACGGCGAGCTTCCCGTAGTGAGGCCAGCGAAAGAGCTACAAACAAACAGAGCGAGATGACAATTCATTCCCAGGCACGCTTTCCCAGGTTTGGTGACTGGCTGGTCCCCCGTGCAAGGCGCGTGACAAACACCTGCTGCAGCGGGAAGTTGCTGTCCGGCTGGCCAGGGCAGACCCTGCAGCCGACAATGGCGGATGGGCAGGAGCGAGAGCCCCTCCAGCAGCACAGAGCCCCAGCGCGGCTGCTAAGGGCGCCAGAGCATCATCATCCTGGAAAGAGGAGGACGCTTGTGCCTGCTAAGGCGCCTGAGCTGGCAGGCTGCGGGGTGAGAGGGGCATGGGAAGTAGAGAGGTGCTTGGGAAGAAGCGATCCCGCGGGGCAGGAGCCCTCAGGCTCAGGCAGATCGCAAAGCTGCGCCCTGAGGCTGCCGCGCACCCGACACCCAACCCGGCCGCTGCCCCCTGCCCTCGCGCCAG